TTTGGTGTTCATTGCGTTGATTTTGTCATTGTAAACCCTATTTTTGGTGCTGATTTCTGGTGTTGAGGGGAGTTGATGAGTTGAGGTGAAGAAATGATTATTTCGAGAATGATGAAGCCAAACTACCGTTTTCTATTTCCATTTTCTTGATTTCAGATACGAAATATGCAACTTCCCAGGGTTTTTTGACTACGTTTGAGTTTGATGAGTTAATTACCTGATTTACCTGGTTTTTTAATGAGACTTTGATGTCTGTTTTGTTTAGAATGTGTTGAGGCAGCAGTTTTAGGTGAATTTGGAGCAACAATGATGGCCAGGGAGAAAAGGAAAGGAGGCTATTACACCATAGGGGCTACTAAGGGCCTCCAGAGATTGAAAAAGTGATTTTGTTCACAAGTTCGTAATTTTGGTATTAATTAAATTGATTTTGTCACTGTAAACCCCATATTTTATGCTGTCTACTGGACAATTTGGTTGGGTAGATTTGATGAGTTGAGGTAAAGAAATGATTATTTTGGGAATGATGAGGCCCAACTACCGTTTTTTATCTCCATTTTTTTTATTTCAGGTACGAAGTATGCAACTTCTGATTTTTTTTTTGACTACGTTTGAGTTTGATGAGTTAATTATTTCATTTACCTGGTTTCTCATGAGATTTCGGCGTCTGTTTTGTTTAGAACGTTTTGAGGCAGCAGTTTTAGACGATTTTGGAGTAGCAATGATGGCCAGAGGAAAAGAAGATCATTTTTTCTCCTCTTCATTTGTGCATTTTGTTGATTTTTTGACAGCGCAATGCATTTTTTAATGTTCCTTTGTCCACTATTCATTTTGATTTTATTAATTAGTTGACTTGATCACTCCTGAGTGCAGAGTTGATGATTATTTTAATTTTTTGAGTCTTTGTTCTACTACAATCCATTGTCGACCGTTTAATTAGCTGATTTAATGAGTTTTCAGTCATGATTTCACGTTTATTTTTTTTAGAGTTGAGAGAATGCTCCCCACGACGACTAGAGGAGATGAGAGTGATTTTCCCCCCCTCCATTTCAACTTTTTATTTATTTTTTCACTGCACAATAGATTTTTGCGTCTTCCTCTGTCCTCTACTCATTCCACTTTGATTAATTAATCAATTTGATTAGTTCTGGGTGCAGATTTAATGATTATTCCACTTACAACTGCTGCAAGTGCATCTTGTTTGTGGATTTGATTCCACATTATTGTTAAGAATTTTTTGTCGCCGGTTTTCATGTCCATTTTCTCGATTTCATCGTCAGGGAATGAAATTTTAAGTCTTTGTTTCACTACAATCCATTGTCGGTCGTTTAATTAGTTGATTTGATCAGTTTTTATTCATGATTTCACGTTTAGTTTGTGTACAGTCAATTCCGAACGCGTTTTCACTCGATTCCGGAACAACAACACTCCGCCATGATGGATAGACGCGGGCGGGGAGTGGGGGGGAATGACGGAATACGGGACAATGGGACCGTGTGGCGGAACAATAGCAGACGCCGCGATGTTGTCGAAGTGATTTTGGCAAAAATTGGCGTGTAAATCGTTCATTGAGTGGTAGGGATTAACCAGGGGCGAATTAATTAACACTAAGCAAAGGTATTTATTTATGTTTTATCGTTTTAGAGGTGCTAAAGACCGGAATCGTGAGACCTCGTGTTGTAATCGCCGGTTTTTCTAGCTTATTCGGTCAGACTAGCCTCAAAAAGAGGAATTTTCATTTTTTTGCCTTTAAAATCAATTGTTAACGGGTTAATTGGAAAACTAATTAGTGCCAATTGAGGATTTTAAGTCTATTTTGGCTAAAAATTGACGAGAACAAAATTTTGGTCGATTTCGGATGGATTTTTAAGGCTCAGCTACAATAAGCCTCGAATGACAACAGAGAAATTGATAAAGAAGGGTAAATATTCAGTCGGGTCATAGGTACAAAAACATATGGCCCCGGAATGCGTCCTTTGTTTCCGTTCCATTCCGAGTTTATTGTAGACTAGCCCTAATGGTGTGGGGCGGAGACGTACGTGTGGGGGCACGGGAGACGTGACAATGCGAACGCCTGCCAAACAATACAGACATTCGCGATATTTTCAACGTGATTTCGGAAAAAAATTGTGCGAATCGTTTATCGAGTAGTGGGGATTAACCAGTGACGAATTAGTTAACGTTAATCACAGTGATAAGGACAGGAATCGTGAGGCGTCATGCGGAAATCGCCGGTGTTTCTCGTTTATTCTGTTAATTTAACCTCAAAAAGAGGAATTTTTGGCTTTTGTTGGCATTAAAATCAATTGTTAACGAGTTAATGGGCTAATCAATTAGGGTCAAGTGAGGATTTCAACTTTATTTGGTTGAAAATTGACGAGAACCGAATTTTGGTCGATTTTGGAACACTACCGCTCCGCCATGACGGTTTTTCATTAGTGGGGAGGGGGGACGTATGTGTGACAATGGGACTGTGGCGAAAACAATAGACATTCGCGATATTTTCAACGTGATTACGGGAAAAAATTGTGTGAATCGTCCATCGAGTAGTGAGGATTAGTTAGTGATGAATTAATTAAAGTTAATCGGAGGTATTTATACATGTTTTATCGTTTCCGAGGTGACAAAGAGCGGAATTGTGAGATTCCATGTTGAGATCGACGGTTTTTCTAGGTTATTCTGTTAATTTAGCCTCAAAAAGCAATATTTGCAGCTTGTTTGTCTTTAAAATCAGTTGTTAATGATTAATTGGATAATTATTTACGATCAAGTGAGGGTTTCAAGTTTATTTTGATTAAAAATAGACGAGGGTCAAATTTTAGTGGATTTCGGAACACCATCGCTCCGCCATGATGGTTTTCCAATAGTCTGTGCCGGCACGGGAGTCGTGACAATGGGGCTGTGTGGCGTAAACAATAATACAGACATTCGCGATGTTTTCGTCGTGATTTCCGACAAAAATGGTGTGAATTGTTTATCGTGTAGTGGAGATTAACCAGTGACGAATTAATTGACATTAATCAAAGTTATTTATCCGTATTTTATCGTTTTGGCGGTGACAAAAATCGGAATCGTGAGAGGTCACGTTGAAATGGCCGGTTTTCTCGTTTATTCTGTTAATTTAACCTCAAAAAGAGGAATTTTGATCTTTTTGTCTTCAAAATCAAGTGTTAATTGAGTAGTTCGATAATTAATTAGGATCAAGTGAGGATTTTAAGTTTATTTTGGCTAAAAAATGATGAGAATGAAATTGTGGTCGATTTTGGAATACCAACCAACGCTCTGCCATGATGGATTTTTAATAGTGTGGTGGGGGGAGACTTGACAATGGAACTTTGTGGCGTAAACAATACAGACATTCGCGATGTTTTCAACGTGATTTTGGAAAAAAATTGTGTAAATTGTTTACCGAGTAGTGGGGATTAACCAGTGACGAATTAATTGACGTGAAAAAAAGGTATTTATTCATGTTTTATCGTTTTCGGAGTGATAAAGGCCGGAATCGGGAGCCGCCATATTGCAATAACCGGCTTTTCGCGTTCATTCTCTCAATTTTTCCTCAAAAAGAGGAAATTTTAGCTTCTTTGACTTTAAAATGAATTGTTAATGAACTAATTGGATAATTAACCAGGGCTTTGTGACGATTTAAAGTTTATTTTGTGATTAAAAAGTGATAATAAAAGTGATATGTAGTGTGTGTGTGTGTATGTGTATGTGAGTGCCTGTTCGTGGACGGAGAGACGCACGTGGGACACCGGAGACGAGACAATGGGAGCGTGTGGGGTAAGTCACCACAAAATCTGATTGTTTTGACAGGGAATATCGGAGAAAATTGTTGTCGATTAATTAATTATTAATTTTTCGCGTGATTGGGGTTCACTTAAATATTATAATTTTTTGTAAAATAATCATTATTCATCTGCATAGATGGCTTGACAACAATTCGCTTGCAAGTTATTTGTGACCATCTTTCTTAATTCGAAAATTTGTGCGGCACATGAAAAATTACGGTTATTTTGCGTCTCTAGCTAAACAGGGTTTAGTCTGGTGAATTATATTCTATTTTATTCCTTTGACTAGCTCTATTCCCCTTTTTTTAAATAGTCTGGTAAATACTTGGAGAATGGTCCTTAGTTCTACCTCGTGTCGAACTGTTGCCGTCAGATAGTAATGTAGACGCCTGCTATGCCCATTTAGTCAGTGTGACAGATGGGCACAATAGGACCCTATAGGAACGACTGGGGAAGGATTTTAGGAAAAATTAAAATTTTACTTGAAAAAACAGTTGCCAAGATGAATAAATTTCCTGGGATATTCTTCAAAAAATTTTGATATCTGGGTTGATAGCACATTCATCTTGATTGTTGCTGTATTCTTTAGAGAGCGATTGCCAAGGATTACATAAATTAAATGTTACTCGTTAATTTTTCATAGTTAAAGTCTTATTTACAATCATTTAGTATATACAAAAAATTGATGAATTAATAGGAATCATTACATTTATTGATAATATCACGACGCTGTGCTTAAACGAGATATACATATGGCTAACTGCTTTCTATTGAACTACAAATATGTTTAATATCCAGTACATAATGCCTATGGAACAGTTTATTTTATAAAAAACGAGCTAATGAAAGTAAAAACTTGTAATCAAGTAAAACGCGAAGATAAATTGATGAAACATGAATTGTTCGTAAAATAACATTAAAAGCAGATGATTTTGTGAATTAATTGACAATTCGATTCTCTACGAAATATATTCCTTCAGACATTTGCTTCTAAATCCGCAAGTTTCTGGAGTACTTAGAGAATGAGTTTAAATATTAATTCACAATATTTCGGTCATCAAATCCCCGATGACTTCGATAATGAGCGATGAGAGACAAAAATGCTAGAAGAAAACATTTCGTTAAGAATTTAATTCTCCATTTCTCCACTGATCAATTCAAGAATTTATCCTCTGATTTTCCTCAAATACAAAGAATGGAAAAAAATCTTTATTACAAAGACTCCTTGCATCCGAGTCCAGCGGACCAATTACAAATACCTCCAACAGGATCAAAGGACAATTTATTAGGACAAGAGTACTCAGTGGGCACGACCTGTCCCCCAACCATCTTAGCGCAAGTGATGAATTTTTTGCACGAAAATGGATGCGCAAATGTTCCCTGATCCAAGCAACCAATCCTCCCACTGGCTGTCACATAGATTTTGTTCTTCAACTCGGGCTTCACCGAAATACGCACCTCCTCATCGACGTAGTAATCGTAATCAATTATGGCAGGGCGTCTTGGCCTGTTCGTAATGACTTTAGCTTCTTGAGAGCCAGTGGTAGGCCTTTGTCTTCTTCTTGATGGTGTCGTTCTGGTGATTGGTGTTTCAGTGATACCTTTGAACTCTTCGAGTCTATGCCTCTGTCCACCTCGGTTTCTCGAGATTTCTTTACCTATCCATAAGACAATCTCTTCATGTTTATTCTCGATTTTAGTACTTTGAGAGTCGTTAGGGAGTTGAACATTGTGAAGTGAAATGAGATCCAATACGAATGTAACTAGTGGGTCTAGATAAAAATTTCGAAAGACGAAAAATATCTTGATATTTTCGATAAATCTACGAGCTTCACACTGATAGAACGACTCATTTATGGTTAGCAACGCTTGTTAACTATAATCCTTCGATATTTTCCTCCAAACCGACTAATGCCAGTGATATATCGAAAATCATGTCCTCTAATATTGCTCTTGCCACTTCAATACAAAATTCGTTAGTAGATAAAGACAACAATACAAAAACACTCTTCCACTCTAACATTTAGGAAGACAAATGAAGATGATGTAACGATTAATTACGTAGATTTGTTGAGGAGTCTCTGCACCATCCGGAGACTTAAATGATGATAGTCGAGAATTTTTTTTTAGATTGTTAATTGAATGGTGAAACGTTGAGTTCTTTCATAGCTGGAGGGAAGAAATCAATTAGAGAATTAATTGAGAGACGCAGAGTACCAATACCAAGAGGAACGTGAAAGATAGATAATTATGAAGAAAGTAATGTTCATTAAACTTTGATGTAATTCTATTTAATTCGAACGGTTTTTCAGTGATGGTGATGAGGTTTACCTGTCTCAAAAGAAGCAACCACTGATGGATCTATCAGTGTCACTGCGAGCTCTTGCGCACGACCAGTTTGGTCGGTATTTTTGGTTGTCGGCACTATGAATCTACTCGAGTAACGACGATCTGCGGTTTCGTATTCTGGAATCATAACAATTCTCGGTTCAGATGAAAAAATTCCTCTCAATCCCTCCCCTTTGAAGATTTGTGCAAGAAACTCAATTAGTCTTTCAACAATCTTTTTCTGTATTCGGTTTGAAACTATCTTTGAATCTATTCAGCATTAGAAAATACTTGGAAAGGCTTGTCTGTAGTGAATAAAATTCCAATATGGCTGATAATTGCAGAAATATTCATAAAATAATCTTGGGTCATTTTGTCTAATTCAAATTTTCAAGTTTCACTAACCAATAGCGTAGCTCTTCGACGTAGTGGGTCTAATAATGCTACCAGGTCTTCTCAAAAAGTTCCCCGAATGCCTCAGAGCTCCCACCTAAACATGAAAAACAATTAAAAGACTCCACCTCACGAACCTTCCTAAAACTATAATGATCCTCATGATGATCAATTAGACAAGGAGGTACAGACTAATCGCAAGCGTTAATACAGAAATTATCTAGACTATTCATAGGAGAAAATAGTAGATTGTGCGACCAGGGCGCAAAGTCGTGTTTTTTGCACCCATGTTACGCATAAGACCTTTTCATCATGTCTGTACAATTAAATTCGTATTTTTCTCTTTCTAATCCAAATAAGTCGGGTATTCCCCGTTTTCTTGCTTCTTGCTATGGCAGTTTTCCAAAAGGTCTGATTAAAAAAATATATAAAATATAAAAAATTGTTGATGTGCCATGGCCTTCAATTTGCAATATATTAAAATATGATTGTCCATAACAATTCTGAGCAAAAAAAAATCGAAAAATTGGAATTTTAGAGATTCTTCAAAAATGAAGTAATCAGTTAATTCTTCAAAATGAAAACCACATGTTTTTCAAAATCAATAATTTGGTTCTGGAAGCTAGAAACTTTTTTTTTCTGTCCAAGTAATGGGAATATTTTAGAAAAGGGGTGTCCAACTATATTATACTTCCTGATCAGAGAGAAAAATGAAAATATTCCGTACAGTTATGATGAAAAAAAAAAAAAAAACATGTAAGCGTGACATAATCCGAAGCACACACTCTAAAACATCAAAAACAAGAGATTAACAGAAATTCAGAGTAATAAAAAATCAGAATGAATGTTATTCGAGAAGTAGTCATGTTTCTTGTGTTCGACGAAGCCCAACATGTCCCGCAATGCTGCTCAATTATTGAGGCGTTAGGTGACAGGACAAGATCCATCATCTCGGTATTGTTAGACCTTCCACTGTTATTAGCATTTGTAGGGGAAAAAATTGTGTTTATATCTCCAATTGGTCTGAAGATGTGGAACTAGAACTAAGGCTCGGAGAAGAGACCCACAGCAATAGCAATAGGCGTGTTTATTTGCATCAGAGGCATCTTCTGGATTTTATTTATAACTTAGTCGTTTGTTCATCTTTTTTTTTTCTTAAACTGACCTCCCCAAGGACTTCTGCATGACTGCTCTCAGCGATGGCTTGATCGTCTTCTTTAATGGATTCTGTTTGAGGGTTCTTGAGGGTAGCTTCATTGTTTGGATTATCGTCTTCATTTTTGAAAGCTTCTTCGGGCACTTCTGTGGATGGGAAACTTTGCTCGGTCGTCGTACTCGTAGTCTGGCGTGTTCTACCTCGCCCTCTACCTCGGCGAATGATTCGGCCTCTTGTGGGAGGTGCAGATGGAATTGGTGTTGTTGTAGATAGTGATGACGCGGTTATAGCAAGCGCTTCTGATGATTCTGATGACTCGGGTCGACTTCTGGGGGACTGCAGACGTCGACGAATTGATGAAAATGGACGAGGTTTTCGCTGTGTAGGAGCACGAGTGATTGATGATGAATGCTGGTAGCGAAATCTCCCTCGTGATCGAACATTTGTCAGAGTTCTTTTTGATGATGTTTCAAGGGTAGACGGTGATTTTGTGGAGGGGGTGGTGGACACAGGATTTACTGATGAAGATGAAATGGGAGCTGTTGATGGAGCAGTTACATGAGTTGATGAATACGTTTCTATGGTTGATACAAATGGAATAGAATTTTTGGTATCTCCAGGGGTAAGAGGAGTTACATAAGAAGCTTTAGTTGTTGGAATTTGCGAATCTAAAGTTGGACTCGAAGTTTGTTCATCTTTTTGAACGAATGGAATGATTTTCAAAATTATTGTCGATCTATTTTCATTGATTCTATCTATATATTCATCAACTGAACTTGTCTGAATTATATTTGCAGCTTCCGTAGTAACTTCTTCCATATCTTTTATTTTTGGAGTAGAGTCATCAACATCTGGCAAAATCTTCTCTGATGGTTCATCAATTTCAGTCTTGTCTGTAGTGAAACTTCTGGGTGTGGTGGATGCCATTGCCTCATAATAATTGGCCGTTGTCGTATATTCTTCATTACTTTCTCCTATTGCGACATTTGATTCATTCAATTTTGCTAGCAGTCTACCATCAGTTGTCGTGCCATCCACGAAATTTGTCGTTGATTTTTCTTGTCTGAGGGTTGTCCTCTCCGTATTATTTCCTTCCTCATTCACGTAATTTTCGGTTTCGATTTCTAACTCTTCGTCTTCGATTGCTTTTAATGGATGATAAGTTGTGATTTCTGGTGGAATGGTAGTCACCTCGCGATCGTCAATTATTCCTTGATTGAGAGTCGTTTCAATTGGTCGGAAAGTTGTTAAATAATTGTCCAAAACTCTAGTAGTTGTTCCTTCTGCAGCTGTTGTAATTTTCGTACCATCAACTTCATTACTCCATACTTCAGAGCTCTCCGTAGTAACGAATTGAGTAGAAACTTCATTATCTATTTCAGTCGTTGTAGGCATCATATCGGATGTAATTGTTGAAGGCAGTTCTGTAGCCAGTTCCGTCAAATTAATTTTGTCAGTCACCCTAAGAACCTCTTCGAGACTTTTAGTGATGAAGAAGCCTCTAACAGGTTCATCACTATTGTGGATCAATACTGAACTTCCTCGGAGAGTCGTTGGCTTCACTGTAGTCACTAAATGCTCGTTCATTGCAGATGTCGAAAAAATATTGTTAATGACTTCGGTGTTTTGAGCATTTTGATCAACATAAGTAATCCTAGAATTTCCTCTTCTCCTCACATTTCTTCTTCTGCTACTCGTCCAATTAGCAGTTGTTGATTGCTGTTCAACTCTACCTCTTCTCCTAGAACCTCTCAGTGACGATTCATTGGTAACATTATTATCTTCAAGTCTTCTCCTCGACAATCGATTATCCAAAACCTCAGTTTCATCAGATAACAATTGCCCCACCTTCGGGTCATTAATAACTTCAATCTTCAAAATAGTATTGCTAATATTAGGATTAATCGCCCCGTGCGGTAAACTCAGTACAGCAAACTGGTTAATCTTAACTTCCCCACTCCCATAATCATCCAAAATCTTGACCCTCACTTTAATTCCATCCGAATCAATAATCTGTGGTACTTTATTTTCAATCTCGTCATTAAGAGAATTGACCTCATACGTTTGTGTACTTTTAACTGAAGTATCAAACGATCTTGTGATTCCATAGTTAGTATCAATCAGCTGCTTCAGTGTTGGTAGATCAGGTTTGTCAGGAATTTCCAGGTTCACCTGAAAAATATGATATAGATAGTGACCATAAATTCACTGAAAAAATCATCTCTCAGGTGTTCCATTTGCTCTTTAGTGCAGGTTTTTGTATATTTTTTTGGTTCATTATCGGTTGCCAAAGAGTGCGACGACAGTTTCGACGTTCAAGGTCGAGATCATTGGTCGCCATATTGGTGGTTTTTTGAAGCATAGCTCGTGATTATTATCGTCATGGCAATATGTTACATTCATGAATGATGTTTTGTTTGATTAAGATGATGAAATTTGTTTAAATATTAGAACTAATTGGCATTTGTTGGAGTCTATATTCATTCTCTACCGACGAGATCGTTGAAGACTGATTCGATCTCGATGGTAGATGACTCAACACTGGGTTCAGTTACAAAGTATCGAGCACGTCTTGCAAATACTCGTTCAATGGGTAATGTAGATTTTTCAATTGTTCTTTCAGTTGGATCATGAATCTCATTTAGTAAAAAGTATCTCTGATCCTGAGAGGAGGGATAATCCTTGTCGTAATGAAGGGAATTATCATACGGTATTTTTGTTGCTGATGTTAATGACGAGTATTTAGTCTTAATGAGAATTATCTGTCGTTCTGTTGTTCCAGACTCAACGACTGATGTTACTAATCTTGTTACTGATTGTTTTGGTGTTGGTGGGGTATTGGATGGTGGTTTTTGAGACTGTTGTTTTCGGAGTAATGCATCAGCCACGTAATCGAATTTTCGGGCTGGGATGAGGGTTTCCGTGACTGATGACTCGGTTGTCGTTGGTTTTCGGGGGTAGGATCGAGTCTTTGGGGTTTGGCTCTGCCAGAAGCCCACGGGAACGTTAGACTGTTTCTTTGAGGGATTAACCCTATGGTTGTTTGATACTAGAAACTTGAAGATTTGTTCTTCATGTTCGATAGTACCCGTGGGCTCTGCTTCGTTCTCACCAATGAAACGAGTCCTACCCGATCGAAAACCGACGGCGTTCCCCAGTTTCTCGGAGGATTCTTCAGGGAATGAGTCGGGTTCTTTGGAGATTAGGGTGGATGACACTTCTGAATCGTAGATTGGAGTCAGTCCAATTGTCGTTGCTGGTGTTGTATGCTGACTCCAAAATGTTTGAAGGTCTTCATTAATATTAGTGTCTTCACTGACACTAGCTGTGGTTGAAGGAACCGGCCTTCTTCTCACGAACAGGCCCTTTCTGCGAGAATTTATAGCAGAATTGGGAAGCTCTATTGTTGATCTTCCTGATGACCTTGAGCTGCCAAATCTCCGCGTTGATGTTGGAGCAGACGTTGTGGTCGTTGATGAGAAGGCCGGACGCTTCCTCAAGAATTTCCTTCTCACAAACCTGGAAACTGGATCTGATGCTGTTGTACTTACTGGAGTTGTCGTTGGGACTGTTGTTGTAATTGTTGTTGGTTCATCAACATCGATTCTTGTTGTCCTTATTGTCGTTTCTAAAAGATTATCCGCGTCTGATGGTCTCTCAGTCTCTAGAGTTGTTTCAACAGTAACTGTCGTCACGTCATCTGAACCTGTGAGAATTGTAGTCGATTCTATCGTTGTCTTTTCCGAATTATCGAAGATCGTTGTCAATTTGTCGATCAAATCTGTCGTAATTTCGTTGTCTGAAGGTTCCGTCGGGAGCTCAGTCGATCCTGCCTTCTCTTCAGCTGAGAAAATCGACGGAGTCGTGGAGTTTCCGTTATACCTGGAGCTGAAGATAACCTCTGGGTCCTCAGCCGTTGGTAATTCGTTCGAGGGACTTTCCAAATGCGGTCTGATTCGCTTCAGAATTTTTCTCCTTCTTTTAACTTCGATCGTTGATTCTTCAGTTGAGGTGGTAGGAGAGACTGGACGTCTTCTCAATAAAACTTTCCTCTTCAATGGTTTTTTATCCTCCTTCTCTACCTGTTCATTATTTACTGTGCTATTATCGAGATTTATATCATCGAGAGTTGTTGTAATACTTTCTGTTGTGAAATTAGCGTCAACAGGTTCTGTAACACCCGTGGAAACTTCCGTAGGCGTAAAAACTGTTAAAGTCGGGACAGCCTCATCAGAAATTGATGATTCTGTGACAAAACCTAATGATTCCGTCAGTTTTGTTGTCTCATTTTCCAATCCTGATGGTTCAATTACATTCAATACATCCTCTTGTACTTTGAACACTCGAATCTTCGTGATCTTCTTATCATCATCATTATGCCCAATAAACTCCGACCGCGATTGCTTCAAGAGTTCAGAATTATCCGATGCGATTCGGATTATTTTGCTGTCTGTGGGTCTTCTTCTTCGAGAAATCCCAGAAGAGCTGGTTGTGGCTTCAGCCGCGGGTGTCGGTTTTCTTCCCCTCCTAGAACTGAATTTCAATGTGGATATGTCATCAGATGTCGATACTGTACTCTTAGGAAATTCTGCCGTTATTGTTCTTGAAGAATATCTAGCTCCCCCTCTTCTCGTCCCCAGCCTCGATCGACTGATCGTTTGCACTTCAGGCTCCACTGAAGTAATCTCATTGGAGTTATTCTCCACTGATTGACTGATGTCATTGGATACTGTTGATGCTCTTGCTCGTGTTCTTACCCGATTTTGATACGAACTCGACGACCTCGCAAAGTTTCTCGTTGGTCTGTTACTCACCTTGACTCTTGATTGCTCAGTTGTTGATGGTGGTGTTGATAATGATGATGATGATGATGATGCTGTTGTTGGACGTATTCTTCGGGGGTATCCAAAGGGTCTGGGTGAAGATACTACTGAGACTGTTGTCCTTGGTAAAGGAGTTGTGCGAGGGTTCGATGGTGCTGGGAATGTTGTTAGTAGTATTTCAGTGACTGAGTTCTCTACCAGTTTCACTGGTTCTGTTGCTGGCTGGTGAGTTGTGCTTATTGTGGGGTTTGTGGCGTCGGGGAGAGACTCTGTGGAGGGCATTGGAGCCTCTGTGGTGGGGGAGGGGGAGGGAGTTGAGAAGACCTGGGGCTCAGTGGGGGTGAGCTCGAGGGAGCTTGTTGAGGCAGACTCTGAAGTTTCTTCTGATGATTTTGGCGGATCTTCGGGTTCACTGGAGGACGTTGTTGTACTTCTGAAGCGATGGATGTTGGTGTATCTAGAATTATGAAGAGAATTAGATGATTGGGTTAAGGTCGAGTGGCAGGGGGTATAAATACCTGGTTTTTGCAGTCGTTGACTCTTGGGAGACTTCGATGGATTCCGTTGAGGATGGCGGGTCCTCTGCTTCCTCTTCACTTGGAGAACTAAAAAATGAATGATGGATTTGATGAGTAAGAAACGAGGAGGGTTGAGGGTAGTGAAAGGATTTTACTTTCTGTTGTGCTGTCTGCGGGAGAGTTTTGAGGTGTTTTCTTTTTGCATGTCTTTTTCTTCTAAATCGTTGTCACTCCTGCGTATAATTTCATCATTCATTCATTTGAAAACTACCTTTTAGTGATTCTAAATAATTCATGCGTATCACAGGATGCTTATCATTGTCTTTTTTACTTACGCTGGAGTCGTTGGTCTGGCTCTACGAATGTTGACATAATTCGGTGTTACTCGTTTTGGGGATAAATTCCTTTCTTTCCCTGGAACATTACTGACTTCCCGATCATCAGAAGACGCATCATCATTGTCTTGTTCAATTTCTTCATCCTGACCCAGTTCTTCGTTTTCGCCCACTGCAGGTTCATTCGTCGATGATCTAAAGCAGTCATATCATTTAATTTTCCCAGAATTTTTTACTTTTAAATTGTAAGATTCAATAAGTACAACAGGTACACGTGACTTGGTAAATCTCCTAGAAGCAAGACGTTTACGGAAAAATATTGAGTGACTATAACAAAACTCTCTTGACATTCTCTCTTAAACTCGTGCCTCACCTTTGCCGTGCTATTGTAACGTACTGATGCTTATTAGTCCTCCTCAAGCTCTTCACCTCTGGCACCTCATCTAGTCCCTCGAATTGTGATCTCCCAGGTCCATTCTGGAAGGGACTCCTAGAATTCGCCACTTGCTTCGTGTCCTTCCCACTCGTGCCTCCAAACAACTTTGTGGCCTGTCGATTCAGCACCCTCTCATAAAGACTCCTGCTGATCGTAGCAGGCGTAGCTAGGCTTCCCTGAGTAGTATCTCCTGATCCCTTCTCCTGTAGATGCAGCTGTTTTTCGAGCTGCTCGATTCCGCCAGCCTTCTTAATCAGATCTATTAGCTCTTTCAGAACCCTGGGATCCTCAGTGTCCTCAGCCTCTCCGTCTTCACCCTTAAATGCTCTAGAGGTCTCGGTAGTCCCTTCGGTCGTCGTAGCTTCAGTTGTGGTAGTACTAGTAGTCGTAGTAGGTCTGCTTCTACTAATCGTCTTATACAACAAAGCTTTCGCAGTCGTGCTTACAGGCAACTCTTCCTTCTCCTCAGCAGCATTCACCTCATCATCCTCATACTCATACTCCTCGTCCTCTTCTTCCTCAGACTCTGGTTTTGCAGTTGTAGTTCGCTTCGTAGCTTTGCTCGTGGTGACAGGTTTAGGGGTCGTCGAAGTACCTGATGATGTTTTGACCTTTGGACACACGACATTGCGAGGATAATCACAGGAATCAGCTGCTTTATTGAAAACTAGACCGGATGGACACGTGAACTGGTGGGCAACGACTCCAAGACCACCAGGACCACTGTCCAAGCACCAGAAGTACTTCTTGCAGTCTCGAGGATGAGGGAAGAATCCTTCATCCTCACATTTGAAGTCGGAGCCTGGATCTGGGGTCGTCGGAGGTTCCGGGGTGGTTATACTGTTGCTGAGGGAGGATGTATCTTCCTCGGTTCTCTCTATCTTTCTTGTTTGATCTCGTCTGCGGGTTCCTGCGCGAGATTTCAGACGAGTTTTGCGGGGGCGAGTAAGGGTGTTGCGTTCTTCAGGGGATTCAGGGGAATCTTCAGGATCTTCTGCGTCAGGTGGAGGAGTTTTGGGAGTGGGACGAGAAGTCGAGCGAGAGGTGGAAAGACGCTTCCGAGTTGGCTTCGAACCTGACCGACGTGGTGATGAGTATTTTCGTTCGATGGAGGAGTCTGCTGTGCGCTGAGTTCCGTGGGGCCTTGTCTTCTTGCGGTGGGCTTGTGGCTTCGATCTTTCAGAAGTTTTTCTGGAGATAGACAGCATTTTTTTATTAATTTAGGTGGAATTTTAAAGTCCTCGTTAGAGCTAGGGACTTACTAAACGAATTTTATATTTGATGGGATATGTTTCAAAATCGGAAAATTGACGAGCCGGAAAATTGACAAAATAAAAAAAATTAAAAATTGATAAATCAATCAATTTTCGGTTAATTTGGTGATTATCTTGGTAATGAGTGCTTTTGCGAATATATGTCAAAGCAGTTTTTGTATAGAATTCTATAGGTCATAGAAAATAGGCTATCATTTGAGGCGTTTGTATTTCTCTTACTCGCTTCCGGAGAGGAGAGCCTCTTTGGCAGCTTCGATGAGTGGATACGGACGTCCGTGACACTTCCCACGGAAGTCATCATTGTCGATGGACCAGAACATGATGCCTCCCAGTTTCTTCTCTTTGACGTAGAAGGCTTTCACTCGAACTATGTTCTCGTCGTCATAGCCAACCCATTGATTCGCTCGGAAGGCGTAGGGACCCATGGCTTTCTCGTTTGGCTGGACCACTTCCCATTCGTCTGATTTGGCTATATTTTCGCAGATCTTGAAGGAGTCAAATGATTTTTATTGAGTTGCAGTGTATTCAAATAGATATTCGATATCCACAGAATGATTCACAGAATTGAATCATTCTGTGGATAGCTTCGGAAGGATAGGTATTCAAGGAAAATGTTAAGAAGACTTCTTAATGTTTAATTTACTGTGTAAATTAAAAATTCATTTTGTTATTTTTGAATGCCACATGTCCAAATAACACCCTTCGAATTGCCCACAACAAACTGAACATGTACAAGTTTAAAGTATACAATGTGGAATTAAGATTGCATAATTTGTAATTGAGTTGATACATTTCAATTTAGTAGAATTTAATATGTTTCTCGTGTGATTAGAATGCTAGGATTATAATTTTTGTAGACAAGGTTTTAATGCAAAATATCAAATGCAAAGTATCTAAAAATGTAAAAATGGAGAGACACGATTGCGGGTAATAGGCCATTTCGTCGAGAAAATCTCAGACTCACTTCGTAATAAGCCAAGTATCCCTTCTCCCTGGTGGCATCTCCTTCCTCCCCAGGTCCATCAGCAGGAGCCCCAATATCTGTGGCATCTGCATTATAAAGTGTGTAGGATCTTCCATACGTCGGTATACCAAGCACAATTTTCTCAGACGTGACATCATGATTCAAGAGATAACTTATGGTATAATCCTGCGACAACAAAATTGTACAAATTCGATTATTTTTCTGAAGGGAGAGAATAGGCGATGATTGTTACACGAAGTCCATACTGACGATAGTTAATTCACTGTCGTAATTGTACTCATTAGCCTCCTCCAATCCATACAACGGCGAGTGATGATTGACCGCTGGCTCGAATGCCGAGTGATAGTCGTAGGATAGGAGATTGAAGAAATCTAAGTATTCGTTCAACCTCGGTAGATCGTATCCTTTTTCCAGGTACTCAATACCAGCGGGAATTGCCATTGACAGGAGGAGACGTGGTCTACCTGTTTTCGATGACTCCCTTTCGAACTCTTCTCTCAATTCCTGGGAATATTTAACCATTCAAGGATTTATTGCATATAAAAAATGGAAGAATTTAAAAAAGAATTGTGCCCATTATTTTCAGAGATTAATGTGCATCTATTTTCGAAGCTAATGGGTTTGAGGAAAAATGTTAAAGAACATATTGTAGGCAATTTTCTAGATTATTAAATGGATTTTTAAATTAAATGGATTTTGCGGTTTAGATGTGCCTCCAAACGGGAGAAAAATAATAAGTTTTAGTTCGAGCAAAATTCTAAAAATCTCTCCCCATTATCGCGCTGGGTACTCTTGCAACTGAGTTACTGGGATTCCCAGAAATTCTTCCTTTCGCATTTCACTTCACAAAGCCGCCTAGCTCCATGAGACATTGAATAAATTTAAAGAGAATTATAATTATTGAGGAATGGCAACGTAAAGGAATCATTAAATAGAATAAATACGGTCGTTAGTCAAGATTTCTTCAATTATTTAAGCCGATTTGGCTTTCAGGGGAGTTTTTGAGGAATACCTTTGGATCTGAAGAAGATAGCAAGATTTTCGTGATTAACTTTTTTATAGAGCGAATTGAGAGCTATAAAAAAGTTTACAACAAAAATTTTGTTTTCAACCGTAGATTCCGCGATATTTACTGAAAACTGACCAATAGTCGAAATTGCTACTGAAATATCTCGTCACACCCAGAATTTCCCGCGGAAAATGTCACCCGGAATTTTCTTTTAAGCTAACTAGTTTCATAAATATTATAAAATGACGAAAAAAATTTTTTGAAAAATTTCAATAATCTACAATTAACCGGCAATTAATCAACAAACCTGTACGAGATCGGCGTAATTATTCTTATCCCGTGGCTTTCCACCGTCCCTGAATGCCGGATACTCCCAATCTAGGTCGAGACCATCGAAGTGATTTTGCCTGAGAAATTTGACAGAATTTTTCACCAACTCCCTTCTCCTCTCGGGATCAGCTACCATGGGTGAAAATCTACTTGAGCCCTCATTCCATCCACCAATGGCCAGCATTGTCTTGAGGTTTTTATTATACGTCTTGAGACCAGTGAACTTGGCATATCCACCTAAAACCAATTATCCGTAAACCTTGATTCCTCAGACTGCAATTTTCAAACATTTCAGGGCAATTTATCATGCCAGTGTTTTCACTACCTTTCTCAATGTCTTGGTATTTGTCGAATGGCTTGAGTGTGTTGTCCTTGGTGAAACCCCCAAAGGCATAAATAAGATGGGTACAGAGGTATGGATTTATGTTCTGCGGTGAATATTTCGCTGTCCCTGGCCTGTACACCGACCAATTTGTGTAATAACATACGATTCTCTGGTCACCATTGCCTGAAATAATTTTTTCAATCAAAAGTGTGGGAAAATTTTGGGAGAAATTCGTCAATTTGACGTGTGACATTAGAATGTTTAATTAAATATGCATTATTCCGTGCTGGCTTAGCTCATCGGAACGAACAAGTGAAAAGATTGAGGCTTCTACACGTGAACGTAAATGGACGGTGGAGAAAACTGCGAGAGAAATTGAAACTCCAGTGGACTTTCGTTTAAAAAATTCTTAAATACCTTTTATTTTTTATTATTAATGGTGGAGGCGAGTTGTGACATTTTAGAGGCACTCCCGGTGGCTGAATCAACGTTATTATTGGGTAATTTTCGTGAAACTGTTGGCATTTATGCATATTTTGTTGTTTAGAAACTCGAGGAGTTTTTTTTAAATTGATGTCCAGGTTGTGTGGTGAATATTTGTGGGAGGTAGGGGTTTAGAGATCAGTGTCTAATGTCGGGAAATATGTATATCAAAAAAGGAAGTTTGAGTCAAATCAATCTGATGAACAAAAAATTCGGGCCGGGCATTTTCCTCTAAAATCAATAATCAAAAATTTATCCGGTTGGTTTCGAGATATTGGGCAAATCAGGTTTCTTATTTATCATTATTTTTACTGTAATTTCATGACGAAACTTACAGTCATTGATAGCGGAGAGTCCTATCACCATCCATAGAGCCAGTGTCGTGACCCTCACTCCCTGCAAAAGAAAATATTGATGGAATAATTATATCTGTCTCGTTTGTGAAAATTTCCGTCTCAATTGACTCCCAATGCTACATTAATTGTATTGGGCAATGGTCTCCGGAGGAAGTGACACGCCTCGTCGCACGTCTACACTCACATTTCTACATGCGTTCTGTACCTGCAACATCCGTTTGGAAAATACAGTAAGGGGCCACTGTCTGCGGCCCTTTTCCCCCGTTTTTTTCATTCTATCGATAAAACGGAATGCGGATATGGATTGTTTCACGAGTCAATTGATATTAGCGTCACGTTAAAAATGGGTTTCGTGAGTTGAATGATCAAAAGCCGCGATTGACATGGGAAAAAGTGTCTTTGAACTTTAACGGCAGAACAAAAATTCCCAAGTGGTTTTTTTCGGGAGGGAAATGACCAAACGTGATGAATCAAATTATTTTTTTGTGATAATTGTTCATCCATTTTGAAAAACATTGCATTCAAGGAGAAATTGTCTATTGAAATGTACAACATTTTGTCGTAATTATTCTGACAAAATATATGAAAAACTTTTTTTTTTTCGAAAATGAGTGATACTGCGGAAAAATAATGCCTGACGTTTTTTCTTCTTACGAAAAAATCTGAAGAAATTTCTAATGAGAAATGTCTCTCGACATTTCTTCGTAAAATCACTCATGCGCGGAATAATTGCAAAATTATTCTCACAACAAGAATAACTAAAACATGAAATTCTTTTCAACTCGACACATTTATCGATTTATCTAGAAAATCGTTGGAGTTGTAGAAAAATGTCGGAATATTTTTTTCATAGTTGAAGAAATTTCTAATAAATGCAATTTAATTGAAGTTTTTTAAATCGTGCAGTACTTAATAATCCCATGGTGAACCCACCAGTGGAAGCGTTGAAATAAACCAATAAATTCTAACTTGACTTTCTATGAAAATTAACAGAAATCAGAAAAATTCAAGTGACTATATTCTTCAAATTTCAATTTCATGATCATGTTCACTTCGATTTAGCCCTTTGCCCCGAATCTAAGGGAGATAACGTAATTTTCGTAACGACCTTTTTTGTAGGGCGACTTGAGGGCTACAAAAAAGGTCTTCACAAAAATTTTGCTATCTCCCTTAGATTTCGAGATACTCATTGAAACCTGGCCAATAGTAAAAATCGACTCGAATCGTTTTACCGCTTCGCTGCTGAATTAAATTCACTGTCGCTCTCCTGAAAATTACCACCCAACTGTCCATGTAATGTGATTTTTTTCCCCAACTACCTCAACCAAGTAATTTCCATCAATTTTCCACTCCATAAAAATCTAAAAATGTTCTCTCATTTCAAACTCGTTTAATTGCAAAAAAAATCATCGGAAACGATCTAAACAGCCGTAATGATGAGAACAAAGAGGAGCCGTGACACATTAGATGTTACATTTATTATCCAGTCGGGAGTGTATCGGGCGATGCCGCACTGTAGTCGTTATGCAACTAGTGTGTAAAGAGAAAGCAAGAAAAAGAATTTGGAAAAAAAAATAAAGAAGGATTGGTTTGACTGAGTTCGAGACACTCAACCACTTTCTCCGGCCGGTGTTTCGGGTCCAGGAGACGTAACTGCCGTTACGTCGTTGGGTGGCACTTCATGCCAATGTTAATTAAACAGCGATTATGATTATCTGCCCCCCCCCCCTCTTCAAACGCCCGATAATT